CAGTAACTGCGCCGGTTATTTTCCGCCGTAAAGTGCGCCTAAACCAGTAAAATGCTGGTCTACTCTGATGTCTTTTACCGGCGCAGTAGACGTCGGAAACTTTCCGGCGCCATATGCGGCAGAAAAAATGTCGTAAACGATCCTTCACACGATGCGCCGTATTTGCCGGCGCAAATTTTTCCGCCGGAAAATCTGACGGTAATCGCGTGTTTTTCCGTAGTGCAAGGTGATCTTCGTCCTAAAAGAGTATATATATATGATATGACCTAAATATGGCTAATAAGCTAAATGTACAATGATAGAGCAGCCCTGCTTCTAAATGTGGAAATTACATGACTCATAAAGGCTGGGTGAGATAATGAAGGAAAATCATGGAGACAATCAATACAATTATGATGATAATAAGGCTCATGAAGTACAAATAATTGAAGATATTGAGGCTCATGAAGTCATAAGGGTTATTGGGACCTATTATGATAATAGTTATTTAGAAGATAGAAATATAATATCCGAAAGAAAACATAACGACTCATTTTATGTTCTTACCGTTCTCCTAAAAATGACAATGATAACCCTCTAAATCTAAAAAATAGGAAACATTATTCTGTGCGGTCACCAGACAACGTCCAGAGCCGAATCAGAGCTCACCACATCGCTTTTTGATGTGTACCTATGCTGTGTATCGAGCGATGTGACACGCTATGATTCGTCTCCGAACGAATAATTTCTCAAAAAATAGGGCCTTATGATAAAATTTTTTCCTTAAATTCATTCATGCAATAGAATTCACAAGGCATCAAATGCCACTACACTTTTTTGTCTCTCTATTACATATCAAACAAATAACTTATAATAAGTAATAAATATTTTTCTCTCTATCCAAACATGGAGAGTTATGTACAAAAAGGCAAAAGATGTAAGAAATATTTATTATTTAAAAGCAAATGCACACAGCTGTGCATTGGTCGCTTGCCGATTTCTCGTGACAAGCATTTATATCAACGGATCTTTCCGATACGGGCCAGCCTGGAAACGCGGTATCGTATCGGTGACCCGATAAGTCGCCATATCGGGCCGTTAAAGATATGGTCACTATATCCTCTAGAATTCCGGATAAGGGATTTAATTAATTTTTATAAATAAGTTATTCAGAATTATTTTAAATATAAAAATATTTAACTTGTCTTTTTTCTTTTTTTTAATGGCAAGGTGGCAGTTATGTCTATGAGTGTCAATAAATGAATTAATTATCTTTGTATACGTAAAATTACGTAATTTGGATATCAATCAGAATGCGCCACATCTCCCCTTCACTCGGTACCATGGCTTGGTACAGCTCGTTAATGCTCAGTACTGCAGCTCGATAGCATTGATGTGGAGTATTCTGATTGGCCTCCAGACAACGTTTTGCGTATGGACTAGATCAATTGAAAATTTTGAGTTTGTATTGTATTAATCGGTTTGATAAATGGGTGGGTTCAAGTCTAGGATTTGGCTCATTTATTATATGGGTCCAGTTAGCCCACGATAATGCTTTTAACCCAAAAGTGACCCACTTAATATTTATTTGTTGATGTCTTCTTATTTTTGTTCAATTAAACAAAACTCTATAGTTGACAAGTTCTTCAAAAAAATTGAATCAAGACACGTTATGGAACCTGGATTGGGTCATTTGTCAGTTCGGGTTGGAGTCAAACTTTTTGATTTATTTATTAAATGAGTCAGATTCAAATTGATTGGATTCAAGTTGGTTCTCAACCTAACCAATTAACCTATTTTTATATGTTTATATATGTCAACAATTTTTAGGTTTTATCATAAAATATTAAGAGATTTATAGATGCCAATTCAGTCAAGATGCTTGATGCTGTTTATACAGTTCTAATCAGTTCTTTTTTATATAAAATTAATTAAAATGTAAAATCACAACCAAATTATCATACAAGGTCAAATCAAATAAATTAATTTAACAAATTTGATTTTATTATTATTATTATTATTGGTAAATTGATTTTAATTTTTTTTTTTTTGGGAAATAATTGATTTTAATTTCAGAACATAATCGTTAAAAATCGGATATGATTATGAATTGATTTTTTTAATTTGACAGTTTGTTTTTAAAATGATGTGCCATTAAAGAAATTTTATTTAATGCTAAAGTTAAAAAAAATATTAAAAAAAAAAGGCGTTGCAAGCAATTATTGAGCAATCGAGGCTGTAATTTACAAATTTTTTAGTATTTGGCTTATCCTTGAGGGGCCGTTTGATTTGCTTTAAAAAAGAAGTGCAATATAAAAATAATATATTGTAAGAAAATAAAATATATTTGAAATAAGTTTGAGTTATTTAAATGAATAAAAAATAAAATGAATGTAATATAAAATTCAATAATTGTGGACTGGTAGTGGTGAGACGATAAGTGAGAAGGGCAGGCAATGGAACAATTATTAGGTCAGGTGACCGGACGTAGCTCTACGTGCGGTCACCACTGAGATCACGCCACGTGCTCTTACTCTTTACCGCGTGGCTCGAAGACTTGACCCGGACCAGAACCCGGGATTGCTATCTTCGCATATTGCTAGGTATTACTCGGTATTGCTAGGTATTGCTTGGCAATAACGAGAAATACCGTTCTGTGAAGACCAATACCGAGTTTTTCTAGAAAAACTCGGTATTGCTCGGTATTACTCGGTAATTGCTCGGTATTTGTCTTCACATAATGGTATTTTTCGTTATTGCCGAGCAAAATCGACAAATACCTAGCAATATCGGGCTGTCATGAATTTAAAAAACGCACATGCGACATACCCACTATTCGCCCGGTCGGGTCCGCGGTTTTGTGCCTGCTACGTGGCGCGATCTCAGTGTCGGCCGAACATAGCTCTACGTCCGTTCATCGAACCAAATAAAAGTTTCAGGCAATGGCTACAGCTAGTAACTGTTGATGACGGGCAACAAGAATTTGTAAAATTGAAGTTTATTTAGAAATATTTTAAAATTAATTATTTCTAAATACATCAAAAGTAAACTAGATAATAAATTTTAAATACTTCAAAAAATTACTTTACATTTTTTTTTATTTCAAAACAAATATCAATATTTTTAAAACCTTTATATTTAGAACACTTTAAACCCATTTTACTGAAAATCAAAAGACCCTAAAATAGAATATTTCTAGAAAAGCTTTAGGGTTGTTTTGTTGGCTAAACGAGCTTGCTTGTTGGAAAAAATATTCTCGTTGAAAATTGAGCTAATTTGATGTACCGTAAAAATGAACTAAAATAATTTACACTTGTTGCGGGCTAGAAAATACGCGGCGATAGAGTTTTAATTGTACGTCTCACCTTCGCCAGATCTCTACCTGAGGCCCTCACCTTCGTCGGACCACCACCTGAGGCCCTCGCCTTCGCCGGACCACCATCTGAGGCCCTCACATGCCGGACCACCACCTGAGGCCCTCGCCTTCGTCGGACCACCACCTGAGGCCCTCGCCATCGTCGGACCACCACCTGAGGCCCTCGCCATCGCCGGACCACCGCCGAAGGACCTCACCTTCGCCAGACCACCACCAGAGGCCCTCGCCTTCGCCAGATCTCCATCTGAGGCCCTCACCTTCGCCGAGCCACCACATGAGGCCCTCGCCTTCGCCGGACCACCACCTGAGGCTCTCGCCTTCGCCGGACCACCATCTAAGGCCCTCGCCTTCGCCGAACCACCAATTGAGGCCCTCGCCTTCGTCGGACCACCATCTGAGGCCCTCGCCTTCGCCGGACCACCACCTGAGGCCCTCGCCTTCGCCGGGCCACCGCCGAAGGACCTCACCTTCGCCGGACCACCACAAGAGGCCTTCACCTTCACCAGATCTCCACCTGAGGCCCTCACCTTTGCCGGACCACCGCCAGAGGCCCTCACCTTCGCCAGACCTTCACCTAAGGCCCTTGCCTTCGCCAGATCATCACCTAAGGCCCGGAGTTCTACCAGACCATCATCTAAGGCCAGGAGTTCTGCCAGACCATCATCTAAGGCCTGAAGTTCCGTCAAACCATCACCTGACACCTGAACTTCAGTCGTACAATTGTTACTTGTAATCTGATCACCCTCGGAGGTGAGTTAGCCCATTCTAACCAACTAAAATTCTAGTATAATCATTTTCAACTGGGCTAGACCCCGTGATTTTTCTCCTTTCAAGGGTTTTCCACGTAAAAAAATCTTGTGTTCTCTGTGTGTGAGCTGAATATTCATGCAAAGCTAAGACATACAATTAAAACTCTATCGCTGCATATATTCTAGCCCACAACAACACTACATTTACTTTACTCCGAATTCTTTTTTCATCCAACCAAACACCAAAATTGTTAAAACTATTACATTTGAAATACTTCACACCCAAAAAAATTCCAACCAAATAAGCCCTTAGTAGATTCAATTTATTATTATTTTTAAAATCTAACTCAAACTAAGCCTACACTCATTTATCATGAAAAATTAAATAACATTCAATTTTATCGTTTTGACTCAGCTTTTCTATAAATATATATATAACATGAACCTTCTGTTGTGAGCCTGCGTTCATAAGCCAACATTTTGCTTCGTCCCTAATGCGTGCTTTTAATGCGACCGGTTTTAGCACTCAATACCTTGGACTAAGCAAAAATAAATAAATAAATAAAAAACATCATTAAATTACTCTATAGATGATCAAGTTCACCTTGCTCCCCACTATGATGCACACAATTCAATGATTAATGTAAAATAAATTATTTATTAGACAGGCACCCAATCAATTTAAGAAAAAAATCTACTAAAAAATTAATAATTATTTAACTTAAAAGAAAATCACTAAAATCACCCAAAACTAATATATCGTTTGGGATAGTTTTCCTACTAATTTATAAAATATTTTTTTAGTACAAAATTCTTTTTGAATTAAAATTTTTTCAGCTAAAAAATAGCTTCATAAAGCAATAAATAAATTGTCCAGAACAAAACCAAGAAGAGCGCACAATTAATTTCAAACCAATTCACTCAAAAGGTTAAGCATTTAAGATCATTTTGCTCCAGCTAAAGCTTTTTTTGAACAATCAATTTAATGACATCATTATTTTGCCATTACAAAGAGGCTGATCAGAGATCAATTGAGCTCTACAGGAAATATAGCATAATTCTAATGAATATGTCCAAAGAAAGGTCATATTGACACACCAATTACACAAAAAGAACTCAAAACCTGATAAATAGTTTCAGAAATCTGTATCAAAGAAAAAACTGTTTATTAAAATGAGTGATCTGTGTGATGTGTACTATTCACCCTTATCTTTTTTCAGGAAAATTTTCAAAGCTGGATCTGCCCTAAAGCATCACCACTAAGGCTTCGTTCCAAACAGTTTTTTAACAGCTTCTTAAAACAGCTTTCTAGTAAAAAAAATTAATTTTTATTCTAAAATACTACTTTCAGAAGCAGTAACAAAGCCATCCCAAACTAAGCCTACATTCTTACTGCAGCTTAAAACAACTTTATAGAAAGCTGATTTAAGAAGCAATAAGTCTCAAATGAAGCCTAAGCCTAATTCAGGATAACTGATACACACAGCATGAAATGGCAATACAATTGTTGACGCCCACTTCTTCAATATGCTTCCAGAAATACTTTTGAAATTCAAAAGAGAGAAAGAAAAAGGAAGGTAGTTAACTATGTCGATTTTGATTCGAAAAGAATTGCATGTACCTGCTTTCTACTCGGAATCAGCAGAAAATAAATCGATATGATGGCGAATACACTGCATCTTTCTTTTTTTGAACAATCAATTTAATGACATCATTATTTTGCCATTACAAAGAGGCTGATCAGAGATCAATTGAGCTCTACAGGAAATATAGCATAATTCTAATGAATATGTCCAAAGAAAGGTCATATTGACACACCAATTACACAAAAAGAACTCAAAACCTGATAAATAGTTTAAAAAATCTGTAACAAAGGAAAAACTGTTTATTAAAATGAGTGATCTGTGTGATGTGTACTATTCACCCTTATCTTTTTCAGAAAAATTTTCAAAGCTGGATCTGCCCTAAAGCGTCGCCACTAAGGCTTCGTTTGGAACGGTTTTTTAATAGCTTCTTAAAACAAATTTCAAGTAAAAAATTGTATTTTTTATTCTAAAAAACTACTTTAAGAAGCAATAACAAAGCCATCCCAAACTAAGGCTTCGTTTGGAACGGCTTTCTTTATGCTTCCTAAAATAGCTTTCTAGTACAAAATTTTAAATTTTTATAATATAAAACTGCTTTAGGAAGCAATAAAAAAACCGTCGCAAACGAAGCCTAAGCCTTCGTTTGAGACGACATTCTTACTGCAGCTTAAAACAACTTTTTAGTTCAAAAATTTTAATTTTTGAACTAAAAGCTGATTTAAGAAGTAGTAAGAAAGCCGTCTCAAACGAAGCCTAAGCCTAAATCAGGATAACTGATACACACAGCATGAAATGGCAATACAATTGTTGACGCCCACGTCTTCAATGTGCTTCCAGAAATACTTTTGAAATTCAAAAGAGAAAAAGAAAAAGGAAGATGGTTAAGTATGTCGATTTGATGATATCGAAAAGAATTGCATGTACCTGCTTTCTACTCGGAATCAGCAGAAAATAAATCGATATGATGGCGAACACACTGCAGCTTTTCGGTGCAGTTGGCTTCAAACTAAGCTCACAGCAGATGCTTACCATCAGCAATTTCTCCTAGCAAAGTCTTCAGTTTTTCAGCTTTCAAATTGTCAAGATAAGACAATGGAAACGGTAAATGAAAAAAAAATGTTGATATCATGGTATCTTGAAACAATTTCTATGATGCAGGCTTAAAAGTTATTGGATTTGCTTTGAGATTAGTGCACTATAAATTCTTCTGTGCATCACTAATCTCAAAATAAATTGATAATTTTTTTCATAGTAAATAATGGCGAAAGGGTTTTATCCCATTTGGTAAGCCACATGGCAACTAGAAGCTAATTTGACAAAATAAAAAAACTCACAAGCATGATACTTATAGGAATCCTGCTATTCCGTGGCCTGCAATAGTTTCCCTGTACAATGCCAGAGCTTCATTCATGACTTCAGCTTGAGACAAAATCTGCGCTCTTCTTTTGCTGGAAGGATGAGTGGAGAGGTAATCCCTGAGAGCAGAATCGCCGGTAATCTGCCCCAGCTTCTCGTAGACTCGAGGAGCGACGCGAGGATCAAACCCTGCAGATGCCACAAGCAGAAGCCCAATGTAGTCTGCCTCCATTTCCATCCTAAACAAGACCAAGAGTGAAAAGGAAAGAATCTCAATTCCCACGTAGTCTTTAATTCTCAAAAACACTTTTTTAAGACTAAGGCTTTGTTTGGGACGGCTTTTTTATTGATTTCTAAAACGGAGTTTTAGTAAAAAATAAAAAAATTTGTACTAAAACTCCGTTTTAGAAAGCAGTAAAAAAGCCGTCCCAAACGAAGCCTAAGACTTCATTTGGGACGGCTTTCTTTATGCTTCCTAAAGCAGCTTCCTAGTTCAAAAATTAAAATTTTTATATTAGAAAACTGTTTTAAGAAGCAATAAGAAAGCCGTCCCAAATGAAGTCTAAATTGACATTCTTGCAGAGCTTCTAAATACAAAAGAAAACAGTTCTTATGGATAAAAAGTTTCGGGCCAACACCAATGAAAAATAAAGCTCTATTTTAATCTAGGAATATAGATGCATGTCCAAATCAATCTCAACCTTAGCAAAGGACTAACAAAATTATGATTTTAAAAAAGTGATGTCGGCTAAAATTTGTGCACCAATCCTAATCAATTAAACCTCATCAAGCTATTTGCTTCCCCTCCATCCCTTCTTCTTGATATTCTTTACAAGACTTTTAAAACCCAATGACTACAAATACGCAAGGACTTCAATAGTTTGGTGTCACAGCAAGTGAAGCTTTGGGTTTAATGCCATATCGAATCGTTGAAAATAAAATCATTATAAAAGTACCAAGTAGTTTTCATTTACCCATAGGCTTAAGATTATGGGTTGAAATTAAATTTGACTCCCAAGGCCATGATAATCATCATTAGCAAAGCAAAATTTCTGATTGTAACTAAACTAGATGACCATTCTCTCATAAAATGATTAGGCAAAAAAGTTCATTGCTCCAATAACCAAAAATAGTTGAAGGTCACACGCTATGTTGCACCGATACGGATACGGCGACACGGATACGACAAGATACGGATATGGGACACGTCAATTTTCTTAAAAATACAGGATATGGATACGGCGCGGATACGACATTATAATATATAAATCATACATAAAAATTAAGAAAATAATCAAAGTATAATATTTGAAATGACAAAAAAATTGAAAATAACATTATTAATATCTTTGTATCTTATAATATCAACATAAAAGTAAGCATTAAATATTTAAATGTCTAGTACAACCAAAAAAACAAAAATATAAATTGTCCAGCACATGAAGTTTGATTGAAATTGTTTCAACTATTCAATAGAAGGAATGAAAGGATTAGCTTCTTCAGTGGTTTGTCTTTGAATTTCTATATCATCTTTAATAAATATCATAGCTTCCAATTCAGGCTCATCAAGTGAAAGATTAGCAATTTCTAATATTCTCATATCCTCAAGAGATTCAAATCCATCTCCAGCAACATCCCACATCCTGTTGGCTCCCTCCATATAAGTTGGAGTTTTTCTTGAGAGAAGTCGAAGGTTTGTATGCACATAAACTAAATCTTCAGCCCGCTGTGGAGTAATTTTATTTCTCTTCATTGATTGGATGAATGAATATGTGCTCCATACCGAGTAGTACCGAGCAATACCGAGTTACAGTACCGAGCGGTACCGAGTTCCAATACTGAGCGGTACCGAGTTCCAGTACCGCTCGATATCGAGCAATACTGAGTTACAGTACCGTTCGGTACCGAGTACCAAGCCTATGATTAAGAAAACGAAGAACGAAGAAAACGAACCTTCACTGCTCACGTTGCCTTCACTGTTTGTGTTGTCGAGCCGCTCCATCGACGAAGGATGATCCTATGAACTTTAATGCTCGCGTCGTCAAGCCTCTTTGTCGACAAAGGATGATCCTGTTTGCTTCTATGCTCGCGTCATCGAGCCGCTCCTTCAATTATAACGAAGAAGACGAACACTTGTGTGGAAAGAAATACCTAGCTCTTTGAAATGTTTCAACCGCATAAATGAATATGGATATTGAGCGGAAACGCCGAAAAGCAGAAAAGAATAGGGTAAATTGCAGCTTCGTTTTTTTTTTCATTTTTTTAATAGGACACATGTATCGGATACGCGTGTCCAGTCAAATTTAATTAATATTTTAATTGGACACGACAAAGCCGTATCCGACACGTATCCGTGCCGTATCGGAGGCGTATCCGTATCCGACACGTGTCCGATACAACACGCCTCGTAAATAGGAGTATCCGTGCAACATAGGTCACACGGAGAGGCAAACCTAGGGATGCAAGCGAACCAAACATTTGACGAGCTACTTGTTGTTCGGTTCGATTAAAGCTCGTTTGTGATCGTTTAATTAGCTAAACAAACAAACTTGAACAATATTTTAAATACTCGATTCTTAAATAAACAAACTTGAACACTAATGCGTTCAGCTCATTTATGTTCGCGAACAACATCATTTGAAGTTTGTGAACAAGCTCAACATTAAGCTCGATAAAAGCTTGATTCGGGTTCGATTTTGAACTCATGAATAAGCTAGATAAAAATAATTAATATTTGACTATAAAATTAATAAATATAAATAATCATTGCCTTTGTTACATAGACAATTGCTTTTATTATAAATGTGTTTGTTCATAGATATGTTCATGAACGTATTTGTTTTATAGTTAAAAAAAATTCTTTAAATATGTTCGCGAACAAGCTCGATAAGCACTAAACGAACGAACATGAACTGAACATGAACCGAACATGAACACTCATTAATTTAAATGAACCAAACATGAACACAAACAATAAAGCTCGAACAAACACGGACCAAACTTGAACAAGCTGATATTAAATGAACACAAACATGAACACTCACATACTCAGCTCGGTTTGTTTGCAGCCCTAAGCAAACCCATATGGTTGGAACAATTTATTAAGGTAGAACAGAAATAAGTGAATTGCAGAGGACACAAATTAAACTCCCACAAAAGATAACACCTAAGAAAGGTAATATAAGCAATATTGGTACTTTGTCGTTTTAAAGTTTCTACACTACCATTATGAAGGACGGAATGAGAGAAGCCAGTCTTTCCCTTGCAGCAGCTAGTTCAGTAGTCAAGCCTCCAATACCATTGAACTGCCACAACACAAGCTTATATTCACTTGCACATATGCTACGATAATAACATTGGATCCATTCCCCACCCAGAAATGCAGCAAGACCTCTGCTACTTCCAAGGGTGGAGCAAGTGAGTGCTTATCCCAAAATAAGGAGGCAAACCGCCTAATGGATCATTACCATCATGAGTATAAAAGAAAATAAAGTCTAACAATAATTCTCTTAAAAAGATCTTAAGGTGGTTGGAGCCATGTTGGGATCTAGATCAAGCCAAACAATTTTGCTGCTAAACATCACAAAATTTGCAAGTGAAATATGAGATAAAACTGCTTAAAAGATGGACAAGAAGCTACCACTTCTCAAGGCAGAGTGATGTGAGGTTCCCAACAATATAGGGGCCATTTGGGATCATCATTTATTTATTTATTTATTTTTTATTTATTTTATAAATATATTGATATTAAATAAAAATAAACTCAACCTGTTCAGCTTGCCCAACTGCAACCATGTTATATGCAGTTCTGGCTTTCTTACCAAGAGATGCAGTCCATAGAGGTGAAGGACGAAGTCAAAATGATGATGCTTGATCAGCCTGAAAGAGAAGGGGAAGTCAGGATGAGGCTAATGAAATCAGGATGGGGATGAGGGCAAAGATCACCAAGGTGAAGGTCGCTAGTGTGGAGGAAAAGATGATCAGGTTGGATTGTCAAAATAGAAGCAAGGAGAATGGAAATTGCTGAGCCAACTTGGACGTGAGATGTGGCCATGGACGAGGAAGCGAACATGGCTCGTTTTGCTGCTCTCTCTCTCTCTATCACAAACGTGGATGAGATCAGGATGGGGACACAGATAAAATTTATTTTTAAATATTAAAAATACTACAGAATTCTTTTTGGTGTTTCATAAAAAAAAAAAAATTTCTTAATAATAAAAAAAAGGTAAACACACATATTTTTTCCTTTAAACACATTAAAATAACAAAAAAATAATGTGAAATAGGCTCATAGTGAAGTAAATGTAACGCTATCAGATGAAGTGCAGCTTAGTTTTCTCTAGCTTCTTTCTCTGTTAGTTGAATGAATTTCTCTGTTAGTTGATTGAATTAGTAAAGATGCAATCATGTATTCAGCACAATTTATTTAAATATTACAATGAGTCCAAACAAGTCATTTTTTGTGAGTGTGAGTTTTGATATGCCTTTCTACATGTTTCTAAGGGCATCTCCAACTGAAAATATCATTTTTCACTCCAAAATGCAGTGAAATAAAAAAATGCAGTGATTCATCTCCAATCAAACGCCATTTTGACCCGTAACCATCGTTCTCTTCGTTCGCACCTTTCTTCCACCAGTTCGGTAGAGACCAATTTTTTGAACAGATGAACAATGCAACGTCAATATTGGCGTCTATTGGCGTCGCGCTGTTCATCCGCGATCAAATGACATAAAAAATGACGGTCGGTTGGAGCAAAGCAAGAACGGCAAACAAGTGTTTGTCGTTCCATTGGAGTTTCCCTAAGCAATCCAAAATACCAATGGCGACCAGCTAAACTCATTTTTAAATCTTATGACCACTAAGCAAAACTTGGCTAGCTAATATAACTTGAATAGGTGCATAGTTGCTACATAATTGAATTTGAATTCATCCAATGGATGTAACAACAGTTGATCCCCACTTCAAAAAGAGTTTGGTTCATGCTCAACGAACATTTGCACTTTCTATGATGTATGGCTAAATTATCTACTTGGTAAGCAATGAGTTGTCTCCATCAAAATCCTATTTTGACTGCAAGAGATGAATGTAAGCTGATACATAAAATTTCAACTTACTTTTGACAGAGAAAACATCATTCAACTTACATACTTGATTGTGGGATCACAAAATAAACTATGAAGACAAAAAAATTTTACAGACAAATTCAATGTCATCATTATTTGTTCGATTTGTTTATAATGTTTATTTTACTGTTTTACTAAAATTTGAATATGCAATCGTGTATTTAAATTTTTTAGTTGAATAGTGATGTGTTAATACTATTGATTTGTTTAAAAAATAAATGAACATGTTTTGACTTCTTTTATGCAGGTATAATATTGGTTTATTGGCTATTACTATTCTCTTAACATCTTGAAATTAAAAAACAATTGGGTTCCACCAGACTACTTTTTATCAAACTATTACAACAACAAACATTATGAGTAGTATTTTTTACAACCATATCTCACAAGCAACATGCATGCAAGTTAACTAGTTTCATAAAGATCACACAAGGGGTGCATCCCAGCTGAAAGTGATGTCAAACATAAGAGAGGCCATATAAGAATCTATACAAGGAATAATATTAAAATAATATATCCAGTCTTTAAAGTTTTACTACATAAAAGGTAAACTATAAGTAAACCTTTCAAATGATGCTCCAACATAAGAGAATCCAGGGATCCATTGAAAGCCACATTTGCATAATACAAAGATTCAAGAGATGCTTCCAGCAAAATAAGGACAAGCTTGTACATATTCAGATTGTTAGAAACCTCAAAATGCAGCATGCATTCAGGAAGACAGATTACACAAAATAACTTTGAAACATTAGTTAAGCTAGAGCTATTATTCATCAAGAATAAATACCTTTTATCCAATGGAGAGAATTATAAATGTTACAATAACACTTTAAATTGAGGACTAGCAGTTTAAGCAATTGTTATGGTCAATCTATTTCCAGCAGATATGAATGATAAATTACTAGTTCTAACAAGTCTTGCTTTGGGTTGGATATTAAAATCTTTAAATTACCATCTGCTTGCTTTACTATTGAAATTCTACCATTTTGATAGCATACATGATATTAAAGTCGATTAGTCATGAAAGAACCTCTTTCAAAACTGGGGTAAACCACAAGACTTTGCATTCGCATGAAAGTGCACACCAACAGCCAACTGTCGCATCACATTTTAAATGGCAAGAATGATTACAGGTAATTCACTTTACCAGACTGATAGCAATTCTACCCGAAGAAGATAATTGGTGTGCAGGAAATGCAGCTAACAAAAGAAAAAAAGACAAGATTAAGGAACAAAATATACCTCCTAGAGAATGGAAGTCTGAGAAGCAGATGGGACATAGCATTAATAACATCTGGCATACCAAAGAACTGCAAGAGAATCAGCTGCAGTATCGCAAACCACAAGTTCTTTGTGATCCCTTCCGCTGAATGACGAGCAATAGCATGCCCAACCTAAACGAAAGTTCAAGTAAAAAAAAAAAACTCAATTTCCTTTCCCACTTAAACACCAATCACTCCCCACCAGCAAAACACAAAGTTCAGAAGAACCAACCTCGTGCCCAATCACCGTGGCAATCTCAGCGTCGGTCCTGAAGTGATCTAGCAATCCCGTAAACACAATAATCTTTCCTCCGGGAAGACACATTGCATTAACCATGTCATCTCTCACCACCAGTACCTCCCAGTTCAATCCCTCCAAATGCCGAGTCGCCGGCTGCGATCCCCGTGCCTTACCCTCCTTCCGACTATGATGTACCCACTCGTCATCAAGAACCTCATCCTCCTTGCTCCACCGCACCTCCTCATCGCCGCCAGCAAGGGCCCGAATGGTGCCCCTCGCCTTCTCCGGCGAAGTGGAGTACGCGAACTCCGGCGAAGGTTGCTCGGACGCGTAATCGATGTCGCTCCATCGTTGATCTCCGTGGCGAAAACCGCGCTGCACGGCCTCAATGATCTGCTTCGAGATGAGGCGGACGCGGATGCTGTCAGGGTGGAGAGCCGGGAGGATCTTGCCACGGAGAGCAGATTTGATCTCATTAAACTGGGCCTCTCCCAGCTGGCGCTCGACGGAGGGGGATAGGAGGACGAAGTGCGTGCGCTTGGTGTAGGGAACTGTCTCAATGTTACCGTAATATAAAGTTACGGCTGCGCCGCCTCCGACGATAACGACCAAGACAACAATTCGTGGGTTTTGATACCATCGCGGGCCCTGGCGACGCCGGAAGTGTTGGAGCTCGGAGCGAGCAGTGTAGTAGGAGCGCCGCCAACCATCATAACCGGTAGAAGAAACCACCGGCTTCGCCGTCAAGGGTAGACGCCACCGTCCCGCGACAGTGGCGATGGCAGTTTGGGAGGGGGAGGAGTGAGAAGGATAGGGGTCTTTGAATCGAGTGATTTTGGAGGCAAGAGAGCAGAGGGAGGAGGGTTTGGATCTGCGTATGAGATTCAGCATCTATTGGGGATTTAGGGATCGAGAAAGGATCGATCGAGAGGTGTTCGGATTTGGAAAATGGCAAGGGAGGGAGGTGATCAGGAAATTACTATGGAAGAAAGAAGAATATGGACTGTCGTAGACGAGTCTCGAAGTTCTGAAGAGAGAAGACGGCACGAGCGCCTATTGAGCTGTGGACAAATTATTTGATAGAAATCTAAATAGTTTATTAAAAGCTTAATAGTTGGAATCTAATTTATATTTACATTTATAGTTCAATATTTAATATTTTTAAAAATTAATATATTTAATTTATTATTATTATTATTTTAATTATAATTTGTAATTATTAAATAGCACCATTAGATAGTAATGTCTCATATTTAAGGTTCTTAGTGAATCAATCCACTCATTAAATAGCTCGAAATTAGTTCGCTCATTTTCATTAAGTTAATATAAGTTGATAATTGAACATGTTCAAACTATTTTATAAATTTGTAGATTAAGATATATTTGGGATAATTTTTTTATTGATTTTTAAAATAAATTTTTAAAACAAAAATTTTTAAAAATAATATATTTTCTCAACACTGACCCTACATGAGTGACCTACACATGGAAGATAATATATTTTTTTTCTCATGTTCAAAAGGGTAACATTTTTTGTAATTATCTAAAATATAATAAAATTCAAGGAGACTGAACATTCAATTATATTAAATGATATTTATGGAATTAAATATTTTTTTTCAATTAGTTATTATTTCATGTTTATTTAATTAGTGCAAACTATATAATATTTTTTTAAAGATATAAAAGCTATAACATCTTGTCAAAAGCATATTTATGTTCTATATTGGTATTATATCCATACCCCTAAAATCAGTGGATCATTATAGATCTTGCATTAAATTACAAAAATAATTTTTATTATAACAATATAGAATTTTTTAATAAATAAATGTTACATGTGTTACGCCTAATAAATATTTATAAATTCTTTAAAAATTCTGTAAAGTTAATATAATTCGTGATGTAAACCAAAAAAGTACAAGCAAATATTTTAAAATAATAAGTGCAAACGATTAAGATATATACAACAAAGTTTATAGATTTTATAATTGTTTGATAAATATGTCCTTAAATATTTTTTAATCAAGCTCCAATATTATTCTCTAAAAAAATTGAAAATTTCCCTTAATAAATAAACAGAGATTTATATGCAAATAAACTAAGAAAAAAGCTAGTCAGAGACTAAAGGTTAGCTGGCCAACCTAAGCTCTTTATTATTCGGCAGTAAAAGATCGACTAGCTATCTTGAGGAATACCGAATTATACAAAATAACGAGGAATAACATCATGTGAGGACCCAATACCGAGTTATTTCGAGCTATCTTGAGCAATGCCGAGTTATACAAAAGTTGTACCGAGTTTTTCCTAGAAAAAACTCGGTACAACTCGGTATTTCTCGATATAGCTCGGTATAACTCGGTATTGGTCTTCAAAAAGCGGTATTCATCGTTATTATCAAATAATACCTAGTAGTACCGAGAAAATACCGAGTTTTTAAGCGAAAATTTGGCTCCGACCGGACGTTCCTCTACGTCCTTGCACCGGATGTAATAAAAGTTCTGTCCGGCAAATTATTACGTCCGGTCACCGGACCTAGAAATAGGTCCGGATATCCTCAAAAAATTTAACACGTGAAATATACACGTGTCCGCAGAATTTTAAGTGAAGCGCGCCAAAAACGTAGATAAAACATAGTGAAAGCCCAGGTAAAGCGCAATCAAAGCGCAGTCAAAGCGCGGTCCACATGGCAACTTTTTAATGGATGTCCGGACCGGTGACCGGACTTGACAATTAGGTTTCATTTGGGATGGCTTCTCTACTGCTTAAAATAACTTTTTAGTATAAAAATTCAATTTTTTACACTAAAAAACTGCTTTAAGAAGCGCAAAAAAAAAATCATCCCAAATGAAACTTTAATTTGCTTGGGCAACAAAAATCAACATAGCCACAACAATCTTTGTAGCTGCATCCAATACATGATATATAAACTTTGTAAAACAATCATGTTTCCTCCACATTTGCCGCCTCATCATCACGAACTAAAACTTGCATTTTATTTTGAAAGGGGCAAGTCAGCATCCTCCTTGGAAATTTCATTTAAAAAATTACCCAAACCAACCACAATCTGTTCATCTTAGCTTATGAAAGTAGAAATATCATCAAGAATATTATAAACTACACCTAAAAAATAAATAAAGGAAACTTTTTTCACTCAAATAAAGAACAAAAAGTTAGTAACTTGTTCTTGGGAGATTACTACAACAACAACATTAAGCCTTTATCCCACTGAGTGGGGTTGACTACATGAATCATTTTTTCTCCATTGTATTCTGTTAGGAGTCAAATTCTCATTTAAATCTAATAAAGAAATGTCATTTCTAATATTTCCTAAAAGAATCTTTTTAGGTTTGCCTCTACCTTTCTTAACGTAAGTCAAATCTAATACATCTACTCTCCTAATAGAGTCATCAGAAGGCCACCATTTTATGCGACTAAACCATCTAAGGCTCTCTCTGATCTTATCTTTCATTAGAGCTACTCCAACCTTTTCACATGCATGCTCATTTCATATCCCATCTTAAAAGTAAAGCAACTCATCCACATGAGCATCTTCATCTCTACAACACTTAACTTAATATTATGCTTCTCTTTTAATGGCCAACATTCCGCGCCATAAAGCATTGCGGGTCTTACCACCATCTTATAAAATGTTTCCTTAAGTTTGAGGAAAATTTTTCTATTACACAACAAGCCCGATGCATTCTTCTACTTCAACCATCCAACTTGAATTCTACTAATAATATCCCCATCTATTTCACCATCACGCTAAATAATAGACTCAAGATAACTAAAATTTGTAATCTTATTAATGACTTGATTTCCCAAATTCACAATCCCCCACTAGATCTATTACTACTAAAATTACACTTCATATATTCAGTTTTAGATCTACTCAAAAGAAAACTTTTAGACTATAAAGTTGACCTCCATAATTCGAATTTACTTCAACTCCTCTCTAGTCATACTAACAAGAAGAATATCATCAGCAAAAGGCATACACTAACGTACAACTTGTTGCAAATGTCTGCTAAGAGCATCCATGACTAAAGCAAAAAAAGATATGGGATTAAGGTTGCCCCTTGATTTAATCCAACTAAGATAGGACAATACTTGGTAAAACCACCTTGTGTTTGAACTTAAGTAACAGCTTATGCGTACATATCCTTAATGACTTGAATATAAGCATTATTAACCTTTTTTTTCTAGAACTCTCCATAGCACTTCTCTTGGAACTTTATCATATGCTTTCACTAAATAAATAAATATCATATGAAGATCCTCCTTATTCTCTCTATACTTCTCCATCAAATCTCTCAATAAGCATATAGCTTCCATAGTAGACCTACCCTGCATGAATCCAAATTGATTTTGAGAAACACTAATATCATATCATAACCGATGCTCCATAACTCTCTCCTATTCTTAAGAGATTGACTGAGAAAAATGATCTTCTTATTATAATTCTCAGATGTATAATGCACATTATTAATAGTTCTTGAAGGTTTATAAACAAGGTTTCATTCTCTTCAAACAGCTATAGTGGCAACAACCTACTCCTCAAAATGAAACTCGGGTTGGTTCTACTCAGTCATCCCCTCACTACTTCATCGCCAGCAAAGTGAGACTCAATCTGCCTAAGCAAAATTCATTGAATAATTGCGAAAAGCTTTCGTCATGAAAGACTCGAGCACAAAAGAAAGCTTTTAAAAAATAGGTCGCTAAGGAGTGAAGGAAAACAGTGTATGTAAAGAAGCAAATGAATTAATGAATGATTATTTATGGGGAAGTCATGAAAGTTGAAGTGTCACAAAGTCACATCTATAGTCATCATTTCAATCATTCAAAGCATTAAATCAGAAACTAAACCATAGGTCTTCAGCAATCAATTACACAGATTTAAAATAGCACATCTTAGGGAGCTGAAGAAACAAAACACAAGTCAAACAGCTAGCATTTATGAAGTTTCTTCTTTTCTAATATACTTCTTGATCTTCATATGCTTAAGAATTACAAAAAAATTCAATAAGGAACCTGCAAAGTCATTAAAAGAAATAATGGATATTATAAACTTGAAACAATCTTTCAGATCAAAAGAAGAGTAATAGTTATCAATTTCATGATCACCTGGGACATAATAGTTTAGGCAATCTATTCTCATATTCCTCTAAAGTTTTTAAAAGAAACATAAGAATCGAGGAATTAGTTACAAACAATATCATCTAAGACAAGTTAATCAATTCATATTGCTATTATGAATCTGCTTCAGTAAGTCACCACTAATTAAGGCTTAGTTTGGGACGGCTTTTTTGCTGCTTCTTAAAGCAGCTTTTTAGTTGAAAAATTAAAAATTTGTTACTAAAAAACTGCTTTAAGAAACAGTAAGAAAGCCGTCCTAAACGAAACCTAAATCAAGTAAAAGTACGTTATTTGACATACTATCTCCTAGCTTGACAACAGAACTCAACACTTCCAAACTGGAATCGCCATAGGGAAGGTTACTTGACCAATTACAATGAATTTGTCAAATGAGCTCGACTAACATATAATGAAGTTGGCAAAAACATAATAAAAAAAAGGGACCTTCATTCTCAAAGATCTTGTGTTTTACTTGGAACTCATCATGAGTTCCCTATGTACTTTAGTAAGTGCAAACCAGCTAGGCTAATGCATTTTAAAAGAAGCATTTTGTTAAGCCTAGTTATATAATATTAAGTCTAGAAAATTAACTCATATTTTGACATCGGTACATTTTGACAAAAATATAATGAAAACTCAAAGCATCTTCCTCAAAGCTTGTATTTCTCTTTTGAACATAGTTCAAACTTGTTAGCAAGATTCTAGTATCAACCAAAACTAAATTTGAATCCCATAAATATAACTCATACTTCAATATACATATATATATATATATATATGGTCAAGTGGTTGTTAGGTTGTATCTTCCTAGAGATAAAAAAGTGAATATCAACACGTGCGTTCCTCTCATTGTTAGCCGAACCTATTAGGGTCCGTTTGTTGACCTCCTCTTTGGCATCCATCATTTGCATAACCTTATTGTATATTTTATTGGTCGGTTCACC